GGGAAAGAGAAGATCAGGTCCCAGGGTAGGGAAGCTTGCAGGATGGTGGATGTTTTGGGGATGGGGTGAAAGTAAAAGTTGAATGCAAGGAGAGACGTTGCTGAGAAAGCTGAGAGAGAGGGAAGATAGCCCTGGTAGGAAGCTCCATAATCATTGACGAGTGCTCCGTAGGGGAGTGGAATGGTTCCTCTGTCTTAGAAAGATTTTTTTGGCAGCAGATGTATAAAGGAATGAAAAAGGACCATATTACTAACAAAAATAACATTTTTCAATAGTTCAGATGAAAGATGAGATTAACTTTAATGAGAATAGATAGAAGAGGATTAGCTTTTTTTTCTAGAGGATAGATTTGTAGAGAGGTTTTAGAAAAGCCTCCAGCGAATGGGACCAGCAAATGGTGTAATGGTTACCTCACTGTATTCCCACGTAGTTGACTGAGGTTCATATCCTGGACCCAGCAGCTTAAAAAAAAAAAACCAACCCAGGAGCATGTGTGTGTGTGTGTGTGTGTGTGTGTGTGTGTGTGTGTGTGTGTGTCCAAAATTCCAAGAGAGAGAGGGAAAAGGGATTGCTGCGAGAGAGAAAAGCCTCCAGTGAATTATGGAGGACAACTAGTTTCCTTGGGGAAGTAAGTGGGTGGTTATATGATGGGGATAGGGAAGGTCTAGTCCTTGTGCCCGTTTCACGTGAGTCTGTGCCATTATAAGAGGAAAACTTGGCAGTCGAAAGGGATGGGGAAAAGATGTGGGTAAAGATTGGGTATGTTTGCTCTGCTGGGAAAATGCTCAGGTACGGGGTGTTTGATTATGACTGGCTGGGGCCCCACCGAAGACCTCTGTTGTCAGTTTTCTCAAGAGGAGAGAGTCGTGTCCACCAAATTCAATACCGGGAGATGAATTCTAGCCTCAAGGCGGATGATCTGGACCTGCTGAATTCCTCAGGTCTGTAGTTCTTTGAGGGTGTATTGCCGAGGGTTTCAGATCAGTGTCTACTGAGGTATTCCACTTTGATAACAGTGGGAAAAGATCCACAGACATGCCACAGGAAGCTTGTGATGCATACAAGGGAAAAGAAAGGCAGGACTGAATTGACAATTATTCTTAAAGAACACAAACATTTCAGCTCCAGGGGGGCCTCTAGTTTAAGAGACCTGATAACTTCTGACAGACGTGCGAAGAACCATGCAACAGAATACTATGACCGGGTCCTCATGTTTTATTAAAACAAAAATTAATCTAAAAGACTGTCATAAGTGACTATTTTTTTTTCTTTTTTAAAACACATTTTATTGTGTATTAAGGTATACAATAGGACATTAGAGGATACATACAGATGGTTGAAAAGGTTATTAAAGTGAAGCAAATTAACACATTCATCACCTCCCACAGTGACCAATTTTTGGCTTGCCTTTGTGGGAAAAGCAGCTAAACCCTACTCAGCCTGACTCACACACAGCACGGTTCATTACTAGAATCCTCCTGTCCTCCACTCCATGCTGTTCACCCTAGCTATCTACTTTCTATCCTCCGGCCTCCATATCTCTCTCAGAGTTTCTTCCCTTCCCACTTACTGTCATTTTCCTTTCTTGAGCTTGATAGTCATTGTATTTTTTCCTGAAAGCCTAAAAGCTTAAACTTCCCCTCTCTATGTGCCATGAGAAGCCATCGCCATCCACAGGACTGGCCTTATTTCTCATGACTTACTGCTGCTTCCTTTGCCCTCTGACTTTCCTTAGCACGGGTGCACTCGTGTCCCTGAGCTGCACACCGCCTCCCTGTTAGAAGAGCTATCCCAGTAGCCATTGTCCTTACTCCATTACCTTCGGAGAGTAGTCTACCCCACGTCTTCAATCCAGAGGATTTGGTGCTTTCTGTTACTGGGTCAGGGAACATTAAAGGACTAGGAAAGACTTTCTGTGCCCTTATAAATCACACATGCTTGTCTTCCTAATTGTGAGCAGTGTCTTTAAATGTACAAGGAACTTCTCGGGCACTTAGGGGGAGGTCTGATTTAATTCCCAGTAATTCCTTTCTTCCTTTTAGGAAATTCCATTGAGTCAGATGATTTTAATGTTACTAAATCAATTTCTGTGTCTAAATCTCTTCCTATTTCTGGAATTCAAAAGGGGACCATTCTGAGGCACACTGAAAAGGAAAATGGGAACTTCTAACCCAGTGAGGTAAGTAAGAAGAATGTAATCATCATCGTTCAAAGCAAGTACATTCTTTCTGAAAACAAAGGGCTCCCCTGGCATTGGAAAGAAAGAGCGTAGATGCACATGTTGTTTCGTACACAAATGTGTATGTGTTTATACAGAATATGTCCATATTCAGAATACATAACACCTTTTTTAAAATACGACTCATTCATTTAATTACGTATGTACATGCTAAGCAGTAACGATCGTATATTCCTGGAACTAAGGAGAACTAGGTAAACAAATACGAATAAATCTTTTGAAGATATTAAAGAGATCATTTCAGGAAAAAGATAAGATGGATTATACATCTACAGCTGTGTGATGCATGCAGTGGCAAAGATCATACTAGATACTACAGGAATACAGAAGGTTGGCCTAACAAAGGGAAAGTTCTAAGAAGTAGAGCTGGCTCCATGGTCCGGTGGTTAAGAGAGCCAGATCCCACTGCATGGTAGGAGTTCTGGACCTAGTGGACTGAGAAACATGAGAGGCACTTATGTGCAAGTACCCAAAATCCTGAAGGAAGAGATGGAGAAGGGAATGAGCATGACCATTCCCCATAGGGAGAGTTTTCTCTTCTCCCTTTCTTTCTCTGTTGAGCACACGCACCCTCTAACAACAACAAAAGGATGTGCTATTTAAGTTAAACATTGAAAGATAGAACATTCCAGAAAAAAGACATAATACGGCAATATAGAAGAGAACCAACCTGTAGGGAAGAGTAAGAAGTTTTTTTAATTCAAAAATACATAAAACATATTTGATATGTGACAAGTAGTGTCCTGAGCACTGACAATATAGAGACAGAAGACACAAGTGACAAAGATGTGATAGTTTAATGAAAGATCTCTCAGACTGTAGGTGGTATTACAGAGAGGTTATACAGAGGGAAGAGTGGCGAGAATCTAAGTTGAAAAGGCTGCATAGAGTCCTACAATGACTGTCATCTGCTATACTTCCTGTTCACACTTTAATTTTAGGGATTATTTGGGAGGTGGTAGGCTTTGGAGGTTAAGCTGAAACAAGACATGATCAAATTTGCATTTTATAATTTACTTTCATGAGGAAAGTACAGCAAAATATATTTTAGAATGAGCAAGGCAAGACAATTTTGTTTAGCAATCCATCCGAAAGAAAAGATGAGGGCCAGCAGGAGGTGTGGTGGTTAAGGTGCTGGACTCCCACATGGCTGACCATGATTTGATTCCCAGACCTGGTGGCTTGCTGTCTCACTTTCTCTCTCTCACTCTCGGTCTGTCCCTCTCTGGTCCAATTAATATGAAATAAGTGAATAAATAAAGTTAAAATGAATTTTTTAAAAAAGGAAAAGATGATGAAGTGAGTTTGTAGAAGCACTGTTTTTCTGTAAATAATTTGAGGAAGGCTATACATTTAGAAAGGATACATGGAAAAGGCATTTTTTTGGTAGAAATATTATATATGACTTGAGAAAAAAATAAGTTGAAACTATAAGAAATATATAAAATGTAGTGTTAATATCTATAAACTACAAAGAAATACACACACACACACAGAGTGCTTATAAATTGTATGTATCACGAAAGGGCTAATACAACATTCAATGGGTAATTGGACAAAAATATGAAAAGACAATTCTTTTTTTTTTTTTTTTCTTTTGGAGTAAGCAATCTAGCAACTTCTATTAAAACAAATAAACAAAAAGCATCACAGATCCCTTGACCCAGTAATTTTAGCCCAGCAAATTTCTTCCATACAAATCAAGTCATTGGTATGTGAGGATATATAGATAGGAATTCCTTTTTTTAGTGCTGTCCATAGCAACTGAAAATGAAATGAATGCCAAGTAATGAGATAGTGGCTAGAAAAATTATAATTTAGCTTACTAAAGTCATGAAAAATTACCCATAAAATGAAATAATTTGGGGTCAGTAGGCAGCATAGTTGTTAAGACACTAGACTCTCACATGGTCAACCGCAGTCTGAGTCTCAGACATGAAGTCTCAGACATGTGCGCATGCATGTTCAAAATCCCAAGAGAAAAATGGGAAGAGGGAAGAGGAAGGATTGTGGCTTGGCCATCCTTACCATCATTTTCCTCTTCTGTCTTTCTCCGGTGAGTGCATGTGCCCTATGGCAAAAAAAAAAGAAAAGAAAAAGTAATAAAATGATTCTAGTTATTTGATTATTTCATCAACTATAATCAATATAATAGATGTATAGAATGATACATGTATGTATAAATATGTATGTACACATTATAATTCTAACAACATTGTAAACTGAGGACTAGAATAATTTTTATTTATAATCTCAAACATACAAATATTATCTGGTATAAAAAATACTTTTTTTTTTAAGAGGTTTTTGCCTTAGGGCACATGTTCTCACCAGAGAGACAGAGACAGTGAGAAGGAAGGTGAGAAATGACCCCCCAGTGGGCATGGCCACTCCACAGTCCCTTCTCCTTCATGCTCTTCCTGATATCGCGGGCACTCACACACACACGCATGGCATAATTTTGAAGCCACCGGGTCCAGGACTCAAACCACTGTTGGTCATGTGGGAGTCCAGCAATGTAACCACTATGCCATCTGCTGACCCTAGCTACTTTTTTATTAAAAAGAGTAATCATTGTTAAATGACTACCTCAGATTCACTAAGGGTGTTCTTTAAAAATGACTTTTCTCGACCCCACTGTAGTTATATGAAATAAAAGTATTCTTATGCACACTGAAGTTTAAAAATCATTGCATTTAAGTTTTTTGCTCAGGAAAGAAGTATGACTTTTAATACAGGTGAGTTCCTGTGTATGATAAGATAATGCATTCTTCTCTGCATGTGAAGAGGAAAATAACATTTTTGTACTTACGATTTTAGTTCAGCCTTTACGATACCTTGACGAAGACCGGGCCGAATGATTGGAGCAAGAATCCACCTCGTTCACTGAAAATTACAGTGTGTTTCCATAAAGCCCTTTGTCCTCTCATATTCCAAAGACTGCTGCTGAATTTATAAAAATTAAGTTTGTGAATGTGACTACTTAATGGCGTGTATAAGACTTTGAAAGGGATTAAATAGAAAAAAAATTGCTGACTTGGGCTGGTCTTAGTTTTTTGCCCTTGACTTTATAGATTTCTGAATGGACTTTGACTTTTTTAGAGTTTTATAAGCATTTACAATGTTTTAATCTGCTGATACTATAAATGTATTCTATTTGTTTAAATAATGATTTTCTTATTTTGACTTTAGTTTTTTGGGGTTTTGTTTGTTTTTAAGAAAGTAAAATTGCATGATATTGATGGATCTATTAATAATGTATGATTAACTTTACAAGGCATGACTCTCTTGGCTTCTTTAACAGCTTTTTGTCACTGTAATTCCGTTCACTGACATCAAATACACAGCAACACCTGGCAAAAGTACAAAGACTCAGCAGTTTAGTAACTCATTCCTCCAGACAGAATAGTTGAAATTGATATGAATGCATAAATAAGTCTTTTCTATAGAAGTATAATTATTATAAAGTAATTTCAACTATTGCTAAAGCTCACTTACCCATGATATGTATTAATATAGTGAAAAGATAGCATTTAAAGTAATTTTTATCTGTCTTCAATGAAAATGATTTTTAAAATTATTTTTAAATGAGAAAAATTGTACATATTTATCACATACAAAATGATACTTTAGAGTATGTGTTTATTGGGGCCATTAGATGGCATGGTGTCTAAAGCACTCGACTTCCACATAGTCAAACCACAGTTCGAGTCCCAGATCTGGCAGCTTGCTTTCTCACTTTCCCTTTTCTTTGTCTGTCTCTGGTGAGTGAATACCCCATAGCAAATTTAAAAATAATAATAATAAATAAGATTAAATATTTTTTTAAATGTGTATATTGTGAAATGGTTAGATCAAGCTAATTAACATATGTATTACTTCACATTCTTACCATTTTTTGTGGTGAGAACACGTAAAACCTATTTTGTGGGGCTGGCAGGTAGCATGGTGGTTAGGAGCACAGGACTCCCGCATGACCATTCATGGTTTGAGTCCTGGACTTGGCAACTTGCTGTCCCACTTTCTCTCTCTCTCTCTCTGTCCCTCTTTAGTCAAATTAAAATAAATAAATAAATAAAGTTAAATAAAATAATTTTTAAAAACTATTTTTTAGTTATTTTTAAGAATAAAATACATTGTTATTAACTCTGGTCACCATGTTATATAATAGAGTTCTTAAATTTCCTATCTAAAAATGTTAACCCTTTGACCAACATCCCCCCCGACACTCCACCAGTCCTCTGCTAGCCACCATTCTATGCTCTTCTGACTGTGCCTTTTTCATATTCCATATATAAGTGAGGTCACGTAAGTGTCTCTCTGTACCTGACTTATTTAATCTAATATAATGTCCTCTAAAATCATTCATGTTTTCACAAATAACAGGATACCCCTCCTTTTAAGGCTGACGAGTATGCCATTATGTGTGTGTGTGTGTTTGTGTGTGTGTGTATCTCCTTTTCTTTTTCCATTTATCCACTGATGGTCACTTAGGTTGATTACATGTCTTGACTACTGGGACTACTGCTACAAGGAACACGCGAGGACAAAGACCTTTTCACATACTTACCTCCTTGTCTTTAGATATACATACAGTAGTGGGATTGCTGTTCTATTTTTAATTTAAAAAAAAATTTCTTCACACTAGCTATAGTAATTTACACTCTTAATAACAGTATACAAACGTTTCCTTTCTCTACATCCTTGCAAACACTTATCTTTCATCTTTTTTGATAAGAGCCACTCTAATTGGAGCGAGGTAAAGTGATATTTCATTATGGTTTTAATTTGCATTTTCCTGATAATTAGTCATACTGGGCTTTTCTATATATACCTGCATTTGTATATGTTTTTGTTTAATGCTTACTCAGTTACATTGTCAATTTTTCAATTGTATTACATGGTTTCTTTGTACCGAGTTGTTTTAGTTTCTCATATATTTTGGATATTAATTCCTTGTCAGCTATATGGTTTGCAAATAGCTTCTCCAGTTCCATGTGTTGTCTCTTCACTCTATTTATTGTTTTTGTTTTTTTCTCTGTACAGCAGATTTCTAGTCTGATATATTTCCATTAGTGAACTTAGTTGCCTATGTTTCATATCCAAAAAAATTGCCCAGATCAATGTCATAGAATTTTCCTCTGTTTTCTTTAACAGTTTTATAGTTTCAGGTTATACAAGTAAGTCTTTCATTCATTTTTCCTTTATTTTTGTGTACATAGTGTGAGAAAAGGGTCTAATTTCTTCTTGTGTATATACACTTCTCAGTAACACTTATTACAGAGGTAATTTTTCACTTTTTCTCTCTCTGTCTCTTGCTGGTGAGTGTACACACCATATGGCAAAAAAAAAAAAATCTAAAAAAATATGCAGAGCTATCACTTTTTTAATGTATAAAAACTAGATTTTTGTTAGAAAATAAATTCATGTTTCAGGAAAAAATATGAAAAGAACAATAATACTGATCATTTTATTCTGAAATAATTGCTGTTGACATTTTAGAATTTTTTTATCAATCTTTTGTCTGCCTTGTTCTCTCCATAAATGTATATTAAGTAAAATAAAATTTTTCATTCTTATTTATCTTTGAACTTTCATTAAATCCAGTATTACTTGCATTGTTGCTTTCTTGTACATGATGAGTTATCTTTCAAAAGTTTGATTAGGATGTATCTAGTGAGGATTTCTTTGTGTTTATTCTCCTTAGAGTATATCAAAATTTTTTTGGCTTGTAAATTAATTTTTATCATCAAATATGGACTATTTTCAACCACTGCTTTTTTTTAAAGAGGTTTTTGCCCTAGGGCATGTGCACACACTGTGGAGAGAGAGAGACAGAGACAGTAAGAGGGAAAGTGAGAAATAATCCTGGAGAAGGGGTAGCCAGCCACACCACAATCCCTTGTCCTCCATTCTCCTCCTGGGAACTTTGGCACACATGTACATGCACCCGGATGATTTTCAAGCCACTGGGTTCAGGACTCGAACCACAGTCAGCCATGTGGAAATTGAATAACTACGTCATCTGCTGGCCCCACAACCACTATTTTAAAAAACGTTTCCCACCCCTTTCTTTCTCTTTTATTCTTTACCTTACATTACATATGTGCTGATTTGCAAACTTGTTCACTTTTATGCAATTATTTTTTCATGTTATGATAAATTACTTTTCATTAAATGGCAGGGTCTCATTGTTCTTTATGGCTGAATAGTATTCCATAGTGTATATGTGCCACGTTTTTTTCGATCTAGTTATTCATTCTTGGGCATTTAGACTGATTCCAAGTCTTAGCATTTGTAAACAATGCTGCAGTAAACATGGATGTGCACGTGTCTTTCCAATGGAATGTTTTCCCACCTTTTGGGTAAATACCAAGGAGTGGAATTACTGAGTTGTATGGTAGTTTTAGTTGTAGATTTTTGAGGAATCTCCATATATTTTTCCATAGTGGCTGTACTAATTTACATTAGTGGTGAGGTTCCCTTTTCACCACAATCTTGCCAGCACTAGTCATTATTATTTTTTTTATCATAGCCATTCTGACTAGGGTTAAGTGAGAGCTCATTGTGATTTTTAATTTGCATTTCCTTTATGATAAGAGATGTTGAGCATTTTTGCATTTTTTCATATGCCTTTTGGTCATTTGTATGTATTCTTTATGAAAATTTGTCCCCCCCCTATTTTTTAATTGGATTTTTTTCATGAGTGAGTTGTTTGAATTCCCTATAGCTTCTGGTTCTCAATCCCATATCTTATAGTTTGCACATTTTTTCCTCATTCTAAGAGTTGTTGTTTCACATGAATTATTGTTTATTTTGTTTTGTGAAAGCTTTTTAGTTTGATGTAATCCCACTTGTCTATTTTTGGAATTATTGTCTGTGCTTTGGGGGTCATTTTTAAGAAAACTTTGCCTACTCCAATTTTTTTTAGTTTTCCCTCTGTGTTTTTCACCCATAATTGTATAGATTGAGCCTTTACATTTAGATTTTTATTTATTTTGAGTTGACTTTTGTTAATGGTGAGATATAGGAGTCCAGTTTAATTTTTCTGCAAGTAGATATCTAGTTCTTCCAGCACCATCTGCTGAAGAGATTTTTTTCTCCCACTGGATTGTCTTGTGTCCTTTGTCAAAAATCAGTTGGCTGTAAGTCTGGGGATTTATTTCTGGATTCTTTATACTGTTCTATTGATCTATTTGTCAGTTTTTTGGCCAGTGCCATGCTGTTTTGATTATCACAGCTTTGTAATATATTTTGAGATCAAGAAGTGAGATGCCTCCTATTTTATTCTTTTGGCACAGTATTGCCTTGGTGATATAGTGTATTTTATTATATTAGACAAATGTTATGATTGTTTTTTCTATTCCTATGAAGAATGTCACTGGTAATTTGATTGGAATCACATTGAATTTGTAAACTAATTTGAGTAGAATTGTGTGTATGTGTCATACTCAATTTCTTTTTTCAGTTTTTCATAGTTTTTCTTATAGAGGTCTTTCACTTCTTTGGTTAGGTTTATTTCTTTTTGTGTGTGTTCTGTTGTTGTTTGTTTTCTGCAGCTATTGTAAATGAGATTACTTTTTTCAATTCTACCTCAGTCTGTTTATTGTCGGCATATAAAAACACTATAGATTCTTGTATATTAATTGTGTACCCTGCCATTTAACTTAATTCATTTATCACTTCTAGGAGTTTGTGGATTATTTTGAAACATCTGTGCATCTAATTATGTTGTCTGCAAATATGGACAGTTTCACTTCTTTTCCTATTGGAATATCTTTTATTTTACTCTCTCGTCTAATTGCATTGGCTAGGACTTTTATCATGTTACAAAGGAGTGAAGAAAGTGGGCAGCCTTGTCCCAGTTTTTAGTAGGCTATCTTCCAGCTTTTCCCCATTAAATATGATGTTAGCTATAAGTTTGCCTTATATGACTTTTATTATGTAGAGAAATGTCCCTTCTATATCTATTATCTGAGAGTCTTAATAACAAAATTATATTGCATTTTATCAAATAGTTTTTCTGCATTACTGAT